TTAAAGCCATTTAGGACCCGGGATTCAGGTATAATCTGATCCTGTAGGCCGAGCTGTTCTACGACCCTCAATCTGATTATGTTCTCTGAGCTACCTGGATCCACTAGAACACGTTTAGCTTGAATTTTACTTAAAAGGATAGAAATTACCAGGGCGTCATTGTGCGGCTGAGATATGCCTTCTGCTTCCTCGTCATAGAATGATAAGGCGTCCTCGGGCACATAGCTCCGAGTCCGTTTTTCTCTGGTGATCGATAACTTGGTGCGTTTGAACACAGGTCCTTGCGGGACATCGACACCGCCAACGATCATGTGGATTACATGTTGTGGTTCTTGCTGATCATTCTTTCTTGTGTCTCTCTCCCTGAAGTGGTTTTTTTGCTCGATCACTGAGAAATTCTCGAAGGTGACCCTCGTTGAACAACCAAGCTACCTCATCCCTTAGCTGCCTACAATCTTCGGTCCTATGGCCATGTGTGCCATGATACTTACACATGAAGTTTGGATTCCTCTGAGAAGGATCGGTCTGTATAGGCCTGGGCCATCTGGTATCTTTGATTCTTCCAATAGCTGACACAATCCCTGATGCGTCTACACTGAAATTATACTCTGACATTCGAGGTGCCTCCACGAGGTTGGTGTGCTTATCGAACCCACTCTTACTCATGAGCCCCCAAGAGCTAAAACCTTGATCGTTTCTTCGATCATTTCGAGGAGAGTTACAACCCGAACCGTTGTTTCTCCAATCGACATATGGCTGATACCGTCCCTTGTTCGATCTTGATTCCCTGTCTGTATCCCTCGGGGGTTTGGTTGTCAATCTATTAGGATGAACTGAATCCGAGGGGGCTCCCAATTGGTCGTCCTCAACCCTGATCTTCGATTGGTAATAGTTATGTACGTCCAACTACGTCACAGCTGGGTACTCGATCAAATTATGCTTTAATTGTCGAGACACGATCGAACTCCTCTCGTTCAAACCCTGCATAAAAGCTTGTAATGTCCAGTCATCCGAGACCGGTGGCAATTCCATTCGCTCCATCTGAAACCTAGAGACGAACTCCCTCAACATCTCATTGTTCTTTTGTTTTATTATGAAGACGTCTGACTTCCTCATTGCCACCTTTATGGGCCTGACGTGTGCTTTCACGAAGGCATCTGCTAACATAGCAAACAAATCAATAGAGTTAGGAGGCAAGTTATGATACCAAATCATGGCTCCTTTCGACAATGTTTCCCCAAACTTTTTTAACAATACCGATTCGGTCTCATCGTCATTCAAGTCATTTCCTTTGATCCCACAAGTGTATGAAGTAATATGCTCGCTAGGGTCGGTTGTCCCATTATATTTGGGTATATCGCGCATGCGAAACTTCTTAGGAATGGGCATCGGAGCCGCGCTCTGATGGAACGGTTTTTATATGAACTTTTTGGCATCTAAACCCTTCATGACTAGAGGTGCTCCCGGTATCTGGTCAACACGGGAGTTATAGGTTTCCACCTTTTTCTCGTTGTCTTCAATCTTCTTTTCCCCGTACTCGATCCACTTGCTGAGCTCTTCGAGCATATTCATAATGGTGGGACCAGTCCCCGAGCCATTTTCGTTCGACCTCTCTGGTGCCGGTTCAGCACGTCGAGTGTTTTCTGGTTCAGCTATGCTCGGAGTTTTATTCTGACTCTAATGTTGAGCGATGGCGATCTGCTGAACTTGCAGCATCTCGAATATTACTTGGAGGCTGACTCCTCCATCTCCTATACCTGGTGTTCCTTGGCCCCCAGACCGGGCTTCCCTGCATACACTTCCTCTGGGGTCTGCGCCTAAATCTGCATTTAAAGCAATGTGCGAACTAACGTCAACTGGTTCCACATTTGGCACTTCCCCAGGGTTTATCGGTGGTACACCGACCCCTACATTGTTATTTTCCCCATGAAATCCAAGACCTTCGTTGTCATGAACATGTGCATTTTGCGAGTTTGACATGTTTAATCTTGAGAATCAGAAAATCTTGACAAGAAAAAGTGTAAAAATAACGTGTGTAATGAGAATCGGTAATTAAATAATCACTATTATCTTTAGCCCCAGGGTGGGCGCAAACTTTTTACCTCAAAAATACGAGTAACAATTAAATTTGATTTGTGGTTTTAAAGATATGTGATTTAGTTCAATACCAATTAATAATCAAGAAGTATAAAGTATAGATGAAAGAAATGAATGAATCAAACCCATGTTACCAAACAGTATCGTCCTCGAGCTTAGTCACCTCCAGATGAACCAAGAACAATTAAGTAAGAACAGTAAAGAGAAAAGACAAGTTTGATGAACAATGAGCCAAAAAAATAAGATAGTATATTCTTTGCCAATGATTGGATGATGTTTACAAATGATTGGGGTCCCATTTATATAATAAGGGAACCCTAAATAAGGTACATTTCCATTTACAGTAAGGAATCTTATTGGGACAGTTGTCTAGCCGCCTAATATGGTATCGTACAATTCTATTCCGCGATTAGCGCCATGATTTTGGGGACGTGGCAGGAGTCTCGCTCATTCTGTTAGAGATCCATAACGGCATTATTTTGGTGTCGAGCATACTCGGCTTCGGTATTCATCGTACTTCGATCCTCGGGCATTGCATCCTATCTTCGAGCTCGAGTCTGGTCCATCGGGCTCGAACTCGACCTTGCCTGAACTCGGTCTTAAGACGACCCTTTGAGCCTATAAATCGAAGGCATATGATTTGACTGTATACAAAATTCTCTATAAAATTATATGTTCCATACCATAGGCAATGGGTGCTTGAGCACCTCTATGTGGATCCGCCCATGCCTGAGAATTTGAGAGAATACGACTTATTAGAGAATGTGACTGTAATAAATACTTGATTGAGCTTATTGTATGAAGCAGTAAAGTGTAGTAAGAAAAATTAATGATGAATGGTATTTCTGTGATGGAAAAAAATAGGAGTATTGATGTGTACATTTAATAGAGAAAGAAATAGAAAGAGGAAGGTGATTAACTATAAGAGAAAGTTTTGATTTCTTAGGAAAAAATGGGTGTATGAGAGTTCTAGATGTTGGAATTTTTTTTGGAACGAAAGAGGAGAAAGAAACGGAAGAGGGAGAGGAAGAAGGATAGACTAGAAAAAAGTATTTTTGTTTATGGGTCTTAGAATGTGGGTGAGTTTATTTTAATTTATGTGAGTTTTAAGTTAGGCCAATGGGACGATGACACGGGAAAATTAATTAAGACTTTTTTAAACATAACATGGTTGTTAGTCGTAAGGACAATCTTGAGCCGAAAAGATAACGGTGAGGGTAATTTTTGCAAAATAGGTGGACGGAGAGTATTATTGCACAACCTCTAATAGTCTAGGGGCAGTTTTGACCATTTCTCGATCAATTATATACTGAGATGTGAGTGGTAATTAGGTTTATGCCAAATTGCAAAGACACAAGCAAGGTTAGTAGAATAAGCAAAATAAAGAAGCTTGCCAAAGCGTCTTTGGCAATTAGTTTTTTGGCTCTTTACAAACTTGTTTTTAGTTTTATGACCCATCTTTTTTTTATGTATGAAAGATTTACTTTTACACGTAAAATATTTTCTTTCACACATAAGATATTTAAAAAGATCGTTTTCTTAATTTTAAAATTATAAAGGGCCATAATGTACAAATAGCACATTCCCAAAAGTGGGCTTTATTCTCTCTTTCCCATTTCCCAAAAATAATGGAGTACTACTACTCAATATATAGTCAATACTAATGAAAGAAATTGGAAACAGCTGTATGAGAGTTTGACAAAAGAAGAGTACTTAGGTTTTAACTAATCTGCATTAAGAAATTAAACAAGGAAAGTGATGTGTGACTTACAATTACCTTAAAACAGCACAAGATCGCTTAGTTGTCACTAATAAATATAATGTGTCTGCCGCCCAAAATGGAAGCTCGAAAGCTACTCAAAGGCGAACATTTGGTGGAAAAAGAATATGAACATTGGAGTAATTTGAACGCTCATTTTTCTTCAAAAAGTCAAAACATATATGCACATCCATCCCCAATTCCCCATTTCTTCACCCACCCCAACCATATTATATTCTGATACTCTTGGTTATTGAACATTCATTACTTTCACAACATTGCTTTGGTGATTGAAGTTAGTTATCATAAAAACCAGCTCGGGGCGAAGCTGTCGTCATCTAATAACCTATTTGGCCAACCATTTAAAAATCAACTTATTTTTGAAAAGTATTTTTTCTCAAAAAAGTACTTTTGGTAAGAAATAGTTTGTATTTAGCCATTGATTTGAAAAATACTTTTGAGCAGCAATTAATATTTGAGCAAGGTTTTAAAAAGTGTTTCTAAGTATATTTTCAAAAAAGTATTTTTGGTAAGAAGCTATTTTTTCTGCCTCTGAAAATTGCTTCTGCCAAAAGCACTTTTTTTTCCTTCAAAAAGCTTAGCCAAACACCTTAACTTTGAAAGAAAAAACAACAAACAAACTCAGTTTAATCTCATACGTGGGGTCTGAGGAGGGTAATGTGTACGCAGACCTTACCACTACCCTATAAAAGCAGAGAGACTGTTTCTGATAGAACTTCGGCTCAAGAAACAACAAAAATAAAGCAACAAGCAATAGCAGCAGCAATGTAATTGGGTAATAGAAGCAAATGACACAACAAGTAATAAAGAACCAGGAATAAGAGAATACAAGAATAGTACTAGTACTACTGGTAAGTCTAGGAGAAACTCACAACTACCTATCAACTTACCTTAATCCTCGACCTCCATACCTTTCTATCATGGGTCATGTCCTCGGTAAGGTGAAGCAACGATATGTCGTGCCTAATCACCTCTCCCCAATACTTCTTTGGCTTATCCCTGCCCTTCCTCAAGCCTGCCATGGTTAGCCTCTCACACAACCTGACCAGGGCATCTATGTCCTCTTCACATGCCCGAACCATCGTAGCCTCGATTCCCGCAACTTGTCCTCCAGAGATGCCACTCACACTTTGTCCCAAATAACTTCATTCCTAATCTTGTCGTTCCTGATTTGTCTGCACATCCATCTCAACATCATCATTTCAGCTACTTTCATCTTCCAGACACGAGACTTCTTGACGGGCCAACACTCAGATTCATACAATATCGTCGATCTAACCACTACTCTGTAGAACTTGCCCATAAGTCTAGGGGGCGCATTCTTATCGCACAGGACCCCCGAAGCTAGCCTCCTTTTCATCCACTCCGCTCCAATGCGATGAGTAACATCTTCGACAATCTCTTTGTTGCCTTGGATTATAGACCCAAGATACTTGAAACTATCTCCTTTGGGAATGACTTGAGTATCAATCTTCACTTTCACTTCTGCTTCATGCCTCCCATCACTGAACTTGCACTACAAGTATTCTGTTTTTAACGTACTCAACTTAAAACCTTTAGACTCCAACGTCTGTCTCCAAACTTTCAACCCAACGTTAACACCACCTCGCGTATCATCAATCAGTACTATGTCATCAACAAATAGCATACACCATGGTACCCCCCTTGTATGTATCATGTCAGCACATCCAACGCTAGGGCAAAAAAAAATGAGCTAAGGTCCGACCCCTAATGCAACCCCATCTCCACTAGAAAATATTCTGAGTCTCCTCCCGCAGTCCTCACCCGAGTCTTATCTCCCTCGTACATGTCCTTAATCACCCTAATGTACGCTACCGGACACCGCTTACCTCCAAACATCTCCATAGCACCTTCCTCGGGACTTTGTCATAGGCTTTCTCAAGTAGGGCTGCTTATCGGGCGGATCGGGCGGTTATTTACTCTTAACGGTTTGGCTTATCGGTTATCCACTTTTAAATGTATTAATCCCCTAGCCACCCGATAAGATATTGGGCGGATTGGTATCGGTTTAGCTCTTATCGAGCGGTTATCCGGCGATTTATCGGCCTAATTCAATCTATATTGCAATTGAAAAAACCTGGACATTTTGTAGGCACAAAAATGTAAGTTTGAATTCTTATAGTTCCTAAACTAATTGTAAAATGTGCATCATAAATTCACATTGACCAGATATCACGACTCAGCAGCCTAAACAAATACACCACATTTTGCCACAAAGAAATTTTGGTTGCCAGAAGTGAACGGAGAACATACTTACTTGTAGCAGGAGCAAACCCGATGGTGTAATAAGTTAGTACGATCCATATCAGTGATTCCATGAAAGAAAGGAGAATTTTTAAAAGCCAAATGGGAATTACAAATAGAGTACTAATGTGACGACCCAAAGGGTCATCACCTGTTTCCTCATTGATTCTGTATTTCCGAGGCCTTGAAAACCTCATTTTTTTACTTGTCTCGATTTGCGTGCGCAGTCCGGGCGCGTAGCCAGAAAGCTTTTATGTTGAAATATGTGAATTCTGTGAAAAATTTGAAGAATTTTGATATTAATATGTTTAAGGTTGACTTCGGTCAACATTTTTGGTAAACGGACCTGGACTCGAGATTTGGACGGTCCCGGAAGGTCCGTAGAAAAATATGGGACTCGGGCATGTGCCCGGAGTCGAATTCCGAGGTCTAGAGCCCGAGAAATGAATTTTTCTGTGAAATTGTTTTTCTGAAATTATTAAGGAAAATGGAAATAAAAATTGATTAAAAGATTGTGTTATCGGGCTCGTATTTTGGTTCGACGCCCGGTACAAGTCTTAAATATGTGTTAAGCGCTTTCTGTAAAGTTTGGTCGAAATCGGACGTCGTTTGACGTGTTTCGGACCTAATTGTCTAAAGTTGGAAGTTTATGAAGTTTGAAAGGAAAATGATGATTTTGAGGCTTGATTCAGTGATTTTGATGTTATTTTGGCGATTTAATCGCTCGAGTAAGTTCGTAGGATGTTATTGAGTTAGTGTCTGTGATTGGTTAGGAGCCCCGAGGGCTCGGGAGTGAATTGGAGGTAGTTCGGGGTGTTTTTACACTTGGAATGGTAGCAGATTTTTCTGCAATTTTTGCCCAGTGAAATCCTTCTTCGCGTTCGCACTCCCCCACACGCGTTCGCGATGCTTCATTTTGTTCCTTCATCGCGTTCGCGTCATTAGTCCGCGTTCGCATAGAGATATGAACCTCTAAGGGCCCAGTCCTCTTTTCTTGTTCGCGTTCGCGAGGGCCGGACCGCGTTCGCGTAGTTCCCAGCCCATTTCCCATCGCGTTCGCGTACAGGCCAACGCGTTCGCGTAGGCCAATTTTCCAGGCACCCAATATTTTCTCTTCGCGTTCGCATCCCTTGTCCGCGAACGCGATGCTTGCCAACTTCTATTCATCGCGAACGCGACCCTACTGTCGCGAACGCGTAGTGTAATGTCGTCCAGTGATTTTTTTTAAAAGAACAGAAACAGTACACTCGGGATTTTTCACTTTTTATCACGAGCCCTCTTCTCTCCCAAGCCTTAGGAAGCCATTAAAGCCCTCAAGCTTCAAGACCACTTGAGTAAGTAATTTCCCACTTATTTCCTTTACTTTTCCTTCATTAATTAGCAAGTTTCTAAGCCTAAATCATGAAATCAAGGTAGGAATCATGGGTTTTGGGTAGAGTTAGGGTTTTGAGAATTTTGGGTAATTCAACCCCAATTTGGGGTCGAATCTTAAAACAAATTATATCTTTGGATTCGTGGGGTTATGGGTGAATTTATTTTGATTCGAACCGCGTGTTTTGACCAAGCGGGCCCGGGGTCGGTTTTGCAACAATAAGATGTGAGGAGCGGGTTGCGCGCCGCAACAATGATACATGATAATGATATGGGTCGGGTTGCACGCCGCAACAGTGGTATTTGTGGAGCGGGTTGCACGCCGCAACAATAGTAATTATGGAGCGGGTTGCACGCCGCAACAATTATTGAGGCTATGTGTTTACATTTGAGTATTGATTCCTTGTTCACTGTGAACCTAAGTTGCTTTAGTTGTTACTCTGGATTATTGTTATTATTGTAACTCCCCATAGCATGTTTTCTTCTCCCATGTTGGTAATTGCTTTGTTCGATTTCCGCTGTATATCTATAACTGCATAGGTTTATGTGGTGTCCAGTCTAGCCTCGTCACTACTTCGCCGGGGTTAGGCTAGACACTTACCAGCACATGGGGTCGGTTGTGCTGATGCTACACTTCTGTGCATTTTTGCACAGGTCCAGGTTTTGAGGAACAGCAGCAGCAGTAGTTCGGAAGCAGGCGATTCATATTCACGAGACTGAGGTAGCCTTGCAGGCGTCCGCAGGCCCGGCGTCTCTTCTCATTGTTTTCTTTTAGACTGTTGCCTCCTTGTTTCGAGACAGACAGTTGTTATATTTCTTTCAGACCTTTGTATTTAGTTTATTCTTAGTGGTTCGTGAGTAATGTGACACCAAATCTTGGGTAGAGGTTGTTTTTGACTATTCCGCGTTTTAAATTCATCATTTTAAGACAGACTTCCGCTATTGTTCTTATTAGACTTTATGTTCTATATTGATGTTATAAACTGTTAAAGATAATTGCTAGTGATGGAAAGGTAATTAAGTTGGCTTGCCTAGCTACCACGAGTAGGCGCCATCACGACTCTGATGGTGGGAAATTCGGGTCGTGACAACTAAGTGGAAGAAGGGATTTTTATTATTTAATATAAAAAAAAAATATATATATATATATATATATATATATATATATATATATATATTCATAACGGGTTAACGGATTATCCGTTAAGAAAATTGAATAATCTGCCCCCAAATCGATAAGTTGTTAATAAAAAAATTTCAACCCGTTCCCCATCCGTTAAACCGTTAACCCGCTACCAATAAGCCATTAAGCCACTTTTGCTGTTCGATTTTCGGTTTCGGTTCGGTTTGGAACACCCCTATTCTCAAGGTCAATGAACACCATTTGTAAGTCATTTTCTCTCTCCATATACTGCTCCACCAATCGTCTCACAAGGTGAATGGCTTCTGTAGTTGACTATCGCGACATTAATCCAAACTGGTTCACGATAATAAATACAGATGTCCTCGCCCTCCTATCCACCACTCTCTCTCAAACTTTCATAGTGTGACTCAGCAACTTCATACTCATATAGTTGTTACAGTTCTGGATATCACCTTTGTTTTTGTACCATGGAATCATCAAACTCCACCGCCACTCTGTGGACATCTTCTTCATCCTCAAAATGACATTATACAAGCTAGTAAGCCACTTCAAGCCTGCTCTACCCGCTTGCTTCCAAAATTTCACCGGAATCTCGTCAGACCCAATCGTCTTACCTCTGCTCATCTTCCATATTCCCACATCAACCTCCCTACACTAAATACGCCTGCAAAATCCAAAATCTCTCTGTCCCTCTAAGTTCTCCAACTCACCCAGCATGATGTTCTTGTCCCTTTCCTTGTTCAAGAGTTTATAAAAGTACTCCCGCCATTTACGCCTGATACACGCCTCTTCCACCAATACCTTACCATCTTCATCTTTGATACACTTCACATGATCCAGGTCCTAAGCCTTCCTCTCCCTAATCTTGTCTAACTTGTACAACTTCCTATCACATCTTTTACCCCCAAATTCCTCATACAATCTTTCAAATGCTGCAGTCTTAGGCGTCGTGACCTCTAACTTTGCCTCTTTCCTTTCCATCTTATAACACTACCTATACGTTCTCTTCTCATCATTCGTACTCCCCACTAGCTTCAACTATGTCACTTTCTAAGCTTTCACTTTTCCTTGGACCTCCTTATTCCACCACTTGTCCCCTTTGTGGCCACTCGAGTACCCTTTGTGACCCCTAATACCCCCTAACAGCTTTCCTAATGCAGCCCGATGTCGTGGTCCACATACTACTCGCATTCCAAGTACTCCTCCAGGCCCCCATAGCTAACAGCTTTTCCCCCAACTCCTGAGCCTTTTCCTTAGTCAAGGATCCCCACTTGATCTTAGGTTGGCGTACACCACTCTCTTCTTCCTTGCTCTCTTGACCTCCAAGTCTATTATCAAGAGCCTATGTTGCATCGACATGCACTCATTCAGGATAATCTTGCACTCAGTGCAAAGGCCCCTATCACCTCTCCTGAGGAGAAGATAATCAATCAGAGTCTTCGCTACCTTACAACAGAAAGTCACCAAGTGGTCATCCCTCTCACCAAGTCAAAAGTTTTAGCAAAATCCAACAACAAGGTACCGCCCTCGTTCCTAACCCGCCAGGCACCTTGTTATAACCGATAACAGTCTCTCTAACTTGACCATTAAAATCACCCCGTATGAAAATTTTCTCGGTTTGTGGAATGCCACGCATAACCTCGTCCAAATCTTCCTAGAAGCGCCTTTTGACCTTCTCGCCCAGCCCCACTTGAGGCACATAAGCACTAATTACGTTAAAAGTGAACCCACTAACCACTAGCTTAATAGTTAACAACCTATCATTCACCCTCCTAACATCCACCACTAACTCCTTAAGATCCATATCAACTAAAATACCTACCCCGTTCTTGCCCCCAGCACCCCCTGAATACCAAAGTTTATACCCATTAACATCCCGAGCCTTCGTACCCACCCACCTAGTCTTTTGGACACATGCTATATTAATCTCTCTCTCTTCTGGAGAATCTTCCCCAAATCTATTAACTTACCTGTCAATATCCCTATGTTCTAGGATCCAACTCTCAATCTAGTGGATGCCTTACCCCCTCCCCCCGCCACCCTTTGCCCCCCGCTCCTGACCCACCCGAGGACATGATCTTACACTGCATCGCTCAGAGTAGCCACTACACCAGCAAAAAATAAAAATACACTTTGCCAAAAAAAAATGCCAAAAAAAAAAGAAAGAAAAAACTTGATCAAGTAGTCTATAAGGGTGGTTAATTAAGTTGATTCTGCTTTCGAGACTTTGTCATTTGCCTTATTTTTCCGTCAACCTTTTCCACTGTCACTTAAAAAAATTAAATAAAAATAATACTTTTGCTTTTACTTTTTTATTCATTTATTTGCTTATTTTGAACTCACATCATAGTTTTATGGGGACGCCTAAGCTCTTCCCAAATGTGTTCACTTTTGCGTGGCATATGCATACTTTTTAAAGATGTGTGTATAGGTCAAAATCTGATAGGGAAAATGATGCCGCCGAGGTCGACTAGTAGACAGTGGGATTCGTGGCCGGACAGTCAACAATGGTCGAGGTCGAGCATTATTTTACTATGCTCTAGTTATCACAATAATCATGTTCACCAGATTTTACAAATATTTCACTTGAAAGTCTATTATGCCCTTGACATTATAAATCCTCTCATTTATGTAATACCTTCTATATTATATGCTATATAATATACTTTTACCCAAGTATTTTACTTATAATTAAAATAACATAATATTATTTTATTTATTATTTTTATAATATATTCGTACATTTAATTTTTTTTCTTAAATTAATTTTCAAGATATATAAATAGCATTACTAAATTCGTTAGTGACACTAAAGACCAAGAGACAAAACAAAAATACTCTCTTTACAAAAACTGGTCCACCTTATGACAGAAAATGGAAGAAAGAAGCAAGAGAAGTTGGCAAGAATTTATCCAAACCTGAGGCCAACGATAATAGCCTCTCTTCTGTATTAGCTAATATTACAGTTGAAATAGAAGGGAATAAGGATTTGGTAATGCAGGAGGTGACGTATCATGTTAGGACACTAGAGGTTACAATCAAAGATCCAGATAGTAATGAATTGTATTTCTCAGGGATGCAGTCCCTTGGCAGGAGGTCTAGAGCTGCATAATCGGCCTGAAACTCTAGAAACTACCCAGGCGAGAAGTAAAGAGTATGAAGGAAAATCATTGGTACACGAAAGAAACTCCATTAATGGTACTAACGTGGTTGATGAGTACTCACATTTTGAATCTGATTCAGAAGTAGAAGTGGAGGGAATTCACCTATCAAATGAAATTGAATCAACATCTGATAGTGAAATGCTTCATTTAACCAAGATGAATAATTTTTTGGGAGACAACACTGGTAAAGTACTTTCTCAGGACCACCAAATGGTCACTGATCAAAACAATCTATCACCAAGAGGAGTTACCAGTGGATCTACTGTTTTGTTCAAAATGGGGTTAGAAAATATTCATCATAGGCCTAACTCTCCTGAATTCCAATGATTAACACTTTATCATGGAATATTAGGAGTGTTAGAACACAAAGTGCTTTTGAAAGGTTCAAGACTCTTAAAAATGAATACAATATCACTTTCATTTCCTTGCAAGAACCTTTTGTCGAAGCAGAGAAGATGAACACTTATATGAGGCACCTTGGTATGCAAGGTTGCTATGCTAATCTCAATAACAAGATTTGGCTATTTTGGTCAAATAAGTTTGATATTGTTATTCTTGAAGACTCGAAACAACAAGTCACATGCAAAGTCTCCCATATCTCGGTGGTATATGCTAAGTGCAGAACTACCCTATGGAGAGACTCGTGGAGTGAGCTGTGTAATCTTTCTAATAGAATTATTGGTCCTTGGGCTATCATTGGAGATTTCAATGTCATAGCTGATTCTGAAGAGAAGTGTGGTGGTTCTCCTTATAGGATTGACAAAAGCTTTGACTTCCTGCAATGCTTATAAAAATGTGGGATGCAAGATGCAGGTTTTGTGGGGAACAAATTCACTTAGTGCAATAATAGAGGGGCACCTGATACTATATGGAAAAGGCTCGATAGAATGGTATACAATTCTGAATGGGTTGACTTATATAATGGAACCATTGTTAATCATTTAGCTAGTGCTTGTTCTGATCATGTTCCTCTGTTAGCACAATTTAAATCTACTTCTGACCAGTTTGTGAGGTATTTAAATTCCTCAATTTCTGGACTGAACCTGAAGGATTCATGGAAGTCATTAACAACATTTGGGATGATGAATGCTTTGGTAATCCCATGTGGAATCTGCATCATAAGCTAAAGTTAACTGCCTCCAAACTTAGCATATGGTCCAGAGAAACATTTGGAGATATCCATGAAGAGCATAAAAGACTAGAAAGTGAGTTGATTAGGCTTGAAGGTTTAATGATCTCTGATAATGATGGAGTTGGAAGGTCCAATCTCAACAAAACTAGAGCGGATTATATGAGGTATCTTAAAATCCAAAATGCTATTCTTAGACAGAAAGCAAGGGTGAAGTGGTTCATTGAAGGTGATTCTGACTCAGCTTACTTTCATAATGTCATCAAGGACATGCGAAGGAGATTGAGCATCAACAAGATTCAGGATGAGAATTATCAATGGGTAGAAGGGACTAGAGAGGTATCTGAAGCCGCTATTAGATACTTTCAGGGTATTTTTTTGTTAGAAAATATAACAGAATACAGGGACGAAATAATTAGGCTTTGATAGTGTAGTCACTGTCCTTAAGGAATTTAAGCCTCCCAATTTCGTTGCTGCAGGGATTATGGCAGAATTCCTCCAGGATTTTACAAAGCCTCTGAAATTCGAGCACCAACAATTAACTCGAATTTCCACTTGAACAAATTTGGTGAATTGAAGATAGCAGAAAAGAAGAAGATACTTTGTTGCTTTTCTGATGATTTTTGTTTTGGAGAAGAAAAGGGTATTTATAAACCCTTTAGGTGTCTGTTAGGACTAACAGACTCAACATTTGCCAATAGGCACCTTTTAATACCAAAAGTCACATCCTTTCAAACCCTTTAGGTGTCTGTTAGGACTAACAGACTTAACCTTTGCCAATAGGCACCTTTTAAAACAAAAGTCACCTCTTTTCAAATACTCCCATCAAAACACTAACTAATATAATAATCCCCCACTTAGTTAGTGATTGATGTATAAGATTCATGCGTATAGTAGGTATCTTTCGATTTAAACATACTACTTGTATAAACTATTTAAGACCTTGTCTAAATTGATGGTTAGATTAAGTTCTATTAAACCACAATTCCTATTTGACAAGACGGAAAAGCTTTATACACATAAATCGTACCAACTTCACAATTTGTTCACCGTGAGTTTTAGCACCCAATTATGGCCTTGTGCTACTTCCTGAATTCATAAACACTTATCAAGTTTTGTATCCCAAACTTTGATCGAAGCGGCACCACTTCTTGTGTTTACATAGGTGAAGATTTAACCAAATCCTTAACACGGACTTCTTTAGTTCCTAAACCGAACTCTGCTTCTTCACTAAGAGTATTTTTTATACTCATCCTCCTTTTCTAGGTACTAATTTCCAGTACCTGCTATCCGTCACAACTATAACTTGTTACTACCTTTTAAACCTTTAATATTGTTGAACAATAAGAAAGGTAAGGTTCCCGTTACTAGTGACAAATTTAAATTACCTTAGACCCATAGCACTTGTTGTGCTTATTATCATATCCCTCACGAGTCCTTTAGTGAATGGGTCAGCAAGGTTGTCTTTAGACTTGATGTACACAACAGTAATAATTCCATCCGAAATTAATTGTCTTATGTACTCATGTCTTAAAGCAATATGTCTAGATTTTCCATTGTATATTTTGCTAAATGCCTTAGACATAGTTGCTTCACTATCACAGTGCAAGAGAACAACTGGCTTTGGTTGTGGCCACAACTTTATATCTAACAACAGATTTCTCAGCCATTCTGCTTCTCTTCCTGTAGCTGCTAAAGCAATAAACTCAGATTTCATTGTGAAATGAGTAATACACGTCTGTTTCTTAGAAGCCCACAAAATTTCTCCTCCACCTAAAGTGAATATCCACCCAGACATTGACTTGTTATCACCAACACTAGTTATCCAACTAGCATCACAATATCCTTCTAACACTGAAGGAAATCTGTTATAAAACAAGGCAAAAGTTTTTGTCCTTTTCAGATAACCAAGTACCCTCACTTTACCTTTCCAGTGATCACCACTTGGATTGTGAGTATACCTTGACAATTTACAAACCGCAAAGTCAATATCTGGCCTAGTACAATGCATAGCATACATTAAACTACCAATTGCACTAGCATAGTCTAATTGACTAACGGATCTTCCGGGGTTCTCAACCATCTTGCTAGAAGCATCAAACGGAGTATTAAATTCTTTAATACCCAAATGATTAAATTTGGAAAGAACCTTGTCAATATAATGAGAATGACATAAGGCAAAACCCCACTATGTCTTTTAACTTTAACACCTAAGATAGTATCAACTTCTCCCAAATCTTTCATTTTAAATTGAGAAGTTAAATATTTCTTAGTTTCATTTATGCCTTGCATGTTAGTTCCTATGATTAGCATGTCATCAACATAAAGACATACTATCACTCC